AGACACCTGTCTTTCAAACCAAGACAACTGATCATGTCTGAGTGGAAACTGGGTTAGAGGACTGCACTGTGTGACTTGAGAAGCATGGTTCTGACATCTATCAAGAAAGTCCCATTAATAAAGTCCTGCACCCAAGAACATTGAATAAATATATAAATATACAGCTACAGCCATCAGACTTAAGACATAGGATTCTCTGAATCAATCATGCTTACACGTAACTGAGCATGAGCTTGTACAAGGAGCTATGGGCTGAGAGCTTTCCACCTTTGATTAATCCACTGAGCATACATGAGTAGCTACTAGGAGCAGGGATTCTGCAATGATTCTAGACAGTCTATAGGGAAATTTGAGTATTTCTTGTGTGCAGCTTCTGAGCATTAGTAACAGGCCAAGCTACTCATGAGAAATCTTAAAAGTTTACAAGTGAGGTGTTCTCCTGCCAAAGTCAAGTCCTACATCATCATCAGCTAAAAATAAACTAGTCTTTTGAATACTGTTTGTCAATTAATTTTTAAGGTAAGTTCTTTCATCTCGTCACTTCTTAAACTCTTTCCAGGTTTTACAAGTATACCACTGTCTCACCAGCTACTGAAGAAAAGCGCAGAAATAATCTTTCCTTTGTGCTCTTTTAATACCATCACTGCTAGCGAAAATTGGAGGAAAAAATCCAACAAAAACACCCTACCTGAGTTAGTGCTGCTGAACAATGATGCTGGAAGCAGACTGGCACAGCCTGGTGTTTCTGCAATTCCCATGAGACACAGCTTGCTGAAGTGAATTAAGGAAAACAAAAATTTCTCCCTAAATTGGAACAGGCTGCCTAATATTTATAGCTGGGAAAAGCAAGATGCACTGACACAGCCACAGCTCACAATACTTCCCCTTTGAGCCCTTTGATGTGCCTTACAGCTTAGAATTAAGTCTTGGCTTTTAATTTCTTTCATAGGAAAGAGCTAGAAAAAACTCAAATTCTTGCTTGTGTATGTCCACTACCAGAAAGACAAGATAAAAGGAATACTAGGGCATCTTTCTCATAATAGAAAAAAAAAATGCTCGGCCTACATGGATCATTCTTCTCATCTTTACAGGCTGATGACACTGCATTAATATAGATCTGTTTTTCATGGAGATAAGTTGGAAAAAGGGGAGCACACATTGGGGAGGCAAGGCAGACTCACTTTAGATTACACTAAATTATTTTCTAAAGATTACACCAGGTATAAATAGGATTTGAAAGCTGCATTTCAAATTCGGTGGGGTAAATCTGTGATGTGACTAGAGGAAAGCATGAAATAACCAAACCAAACAATCCCCAACGCCTAACCAGCTGTGAGCGAGCCTGGTGAACTCCTGCCACCTTCTGGTTCAGTCCTGAATTGCTTGGTTTTTCCCATGAGCCTTTACATATATTTCTATATAATTTTCTCTCTTTTGGCACTGTGGCCTGCCATCATCCACATTGAAATCCCCCTTTCTTCCTCTCTTCTGGGCTCTGCACTGTCCATTACTGCTTCCCCTACTATACCATCAACCTTCCCTCTTCTTCTGAGACAGAGCTGCAGAACACGCTCTGAAAGTTGCAGAGCACAACGCCAATGAATTGCTCCCATTCTCCTCTCGCCCCAACCCATATGGGAATGGTTTACAACAGAAACCACCCAACCCACTTTCAAACAGGTCCCCTTCAAAGAGAAAGCTAGTTGCTTTAACCCTCTCTCTTGCTCTTTTGCCCCAACCAATTTCTAAGTACCAGATCATTTTGGATATGGCATCTACACTATTAGTGAAGTGGGAAGTCTCCAAGCAGAAAATATGGTCTTTCACCTACTATTATGCTGGAACAATCCTGCATATACCTGTAACAGAACCACACATCTGTCTCACTAGCTCCAACTTCTTCAAATTTTTATAGCTTTCTCCATTTTCCACAAAACTTAATTTCTGGGGCAACTCCATGAGAGGTCTTCCTGGAAGTTAGTCGATCTGTGCAGCATGATACAGACTTACAAAAGCTGAACTGACATTTTTAAAAGGATATAAAACATGAGAATCTGGATGAGTCAATGATGCCCAGCACACAGAATTCACCTTCAGACACAAGAAAACATACTATTTTTGTGATCTCTTATTCAATTCATGAAAGGGTATTTCCATGCAAAGATGACATAAAACTATGCGCTGGGCATACTTCCTTAGCCCACTAAAGAGCCCAGTAAAGGGACACGAGCACTTTAGCATCATACTCCACTTAAATACAGGAGAGAGAGAAGCATTGAGAAGTGTGTCCAAACAGTGACTGAAGCACCAAACACATCCTATTGTTTATGAGTTCATCCTTAAAAGAATCTGAGCATGAAGAGATTATGAAAGCCTGTTTTAAATATTCTTCATGTTCACAGATAAACACATTTTCCCAAAATTATTTTTAAGAAAGAAGCATGCAAATCTTAGCAGTTTCTGGCCTTCAACATCAGTTTTGTCAGCTATGGCCAAGTGCAGCTCTGAAGTAAGCACTACCCTTGAAAGCTGGTACTTCTACATACTCCTCCGTTCCCACTGTAGCATAACATTCCTGGGCGCCAGCACTGGTACCGAGGACTCTCAGAGACAAGTTTACTGTGATTCTGCCTTCATCCAAGCTTCAAATTGCTAGATTTTTCCACTCTCTCCTCCTAACCCTTTCGCCAACCCTTATGCATTTCCACCTATGCCTCCCAAAACCAGCATTCTGAGAATGCAACAACCGAAGGAAGCGGGAGCAGAAGACAGTACTTTGCGGTTCGTGAAGTAGAGGTTGTCATACATCTCCACAGCGAGAGACTCCTTCCCCAAACCACTGAGGTTGATGATACCATATTTACATCCTCCATGCTCTACGTCATTCACAGTGAATATCCGTTCACAAGCAACATCTGCCTGTAAAATAAAAACTTACTGGTCACACTTACTGGAAACTTACAGGAAAAAAAAGCTTGAGGGAGCTGTATGGGGTCTAAAATGAAACAACACATTAATTCTGATCCTTTTAACACCATCCACTTCCCATTCATCTCCAAGAACAGTGGACGAAAACTTTTTATATGCATGCACAGAAAAAACACGCGTAAGAAAAGGATTTAGTCATTGAGTAACAAATACTCTTTCCAACTTTATCAGTCCTATATACTTACTCTGGCTGATTACTAAGTACAGACTGGTATTGGGAGGACTCAAACCAAAAATTTAAACCCTATCAAAAGTGAATGTGGAATTCTCCTGCTGTTGGACCACAGTAGAAAGGCTGGTCTACATTTCAACTTTTCTTTATGACACGACCTTTTATGTTCAGCTACCTATAGCACTCTGTTTACAAGGCCGGGAGCTGGTCCTGGAGAGCTTCCTACATAGACTATGTAAGATAGTTGCTCCACAGACCTCTCCTGCACATGCAGTACCATCAAAAACAGGAGCAACTGCCTTCAGATCATGAGATGTAAAAAGATTATTGATGTTTACAGATTCTCCGGGACCACAGACTTCGCTACTCCCAAAATTCTTCCATTTTCTTATTCTTTCTTTTAATCATTTCCACTCCCCCTCCCAGCCCTGCATTAATCATCCACTCAGCTCCTGTTTATTTCCAAGAGAACATGTTGATCAGCTTCATTAAAAAAAAAAAAAGCCGAAACACTTTCATATCCAACCTTTTCATCATTTTCCTTTCTAGGAAAGGAATAGCCTCTTCCTACCTTTTTAAAATTACTGACCACAGATTTTGAGAACTGACACAACAGCAGTAACGCATCTTTGAAAGCAAAATTTGACCTATAGGATTTGATTACAAGATCCTGTACTTTCACTGAAGATGGGCTCTCTTTATCCCAAAGACTTCACAGTTCTAGTAACATACCACAATTATTTTAAAATTGTTGGTTCCAGCAACTGAGGAATCTGGACTGTGAATTTCGATCTTCCTCCTCTGCATGCAGTTCACTTTTAGTTCATGGACCAGCCTGTAAAAGCAGGTGTGTGGGGGTGAGAATTCAGGTAAGCCCAGGTTTAATGCCAATGTAAAGAATTCTGGATAGGATATCCAGAACTGCTTCTTGATCACAGAAAATAAAATGGCTCAACAACTAGCATGCTGCAATTTCACTTATATAACGCACGAACACGTGCATCTTCCACATTGATGAAATTTCATCCCATTTTTTGAACCTCAGCGCACCTTCAGTAGCAGAAACAACATAGTAAGTCACTAACTTGCCTTCTGCGCTGTTACTGAATCTGAGCTATCTTAGCCATTCTAATGGGGGGCAGGGGGAACAGTCACATCAGCTGAAGAGCATTCATCCAAAGAAAAGCTGCACTGTGTCCATAAAGCACAATGTGGCAAACCAGCATATAGAGGGGGAAAGAAAAAGAAAAAAGTGAAGTTTTAAACTCCATTTATCTGAAATTGGGAAACCTCTTATTCATTTGAATTCTCATCACTTTAGTAATCTGATTATAAAAGAATATAAATATTTTTTTATTACAAGTAATATGTTCCTCTTTGTACTAAGTGGACAAAGAAAGGAAATGTAAAAAAAACCCAGTAAGAAATGCTGACAGGAACAGTTGCATCAACAGCAGAACTTGGTATTGCAAACAGAACAGAAATCAAACCATTGTACCTGCAATAGCTTGTGGAGCTGAGCAAACCCAGCTGCCTTTTCTGTAACAGCATTGATGAGTTCAGTCCAGCCCTTGTTGTTTTCTGGAAGACAGCAACATGAAAGTGTACTCAGTTATTTTCTTGTTTACAATTCAAACATGGCAGTGGGTCTTGGATGTTTGGGATATTTAGGTAACTTTTTCCTCTAGCCTACATACATTAAAATTTTCAGAATGTCTATAAAACACATTCCAGCACCATCTGCCTGGTCTGCTACCCCTGTGAGACACGAGGTACTCCTAGAAATACAAAAACTGGAAGAAAAAAACCAAACAACCAACAGCCATTGTTTTCACTTGACATAACTGGCAGTACCACCTTGAGGTGTGAAGCCACCTTCTGGTTTCACTGTAACACCTTAAATTCTTACTATACAGCAAAATTTTCTATCACAACAAGACTGCTATTAACTATGCAGTCCTACTGCTGTACTAAACTACTTTTCCATTCATCATTTTTTAAGAGTTCACACAAACACTTTCTGGGGAGACCAAACGATGGAGTATTTTGCAGCGTTACAGAGGAAGAAATCTTTTTGATTATGCTTGGAAAAAGCAAATATTCAAGAGTCAAAATGTTCTTATCTGGACCCTAATTCATATGCCTGATTCAACAGCCAGATTTTGAGAAGGGATGTATATCCACAGTTCCCATTAACAGCAACGCGGGAAGCAGCTTTTTGGTATCTGTGAAACCTAAACTGCTCATGGAAACAGCTAAACCAACAACAACAAAAAAAGCCAAAATCAAACCAAAACCAGCAGCACTTTCACAGTGAAGACCGAAAATCTGAATAGCTGGTTGAAATAAGAACGTCATTACCTAAGGAGACAAATACTGCTTGCTTCTTCCAAATGACAGCATATGTAAGCTGAGCAGTGATTTGTAAGGTTGTAAGACATGGCTTTCAGGTAATTAAAAATGATCCTTGTTGGGTATTTTACCCAGATGACAGATATGCAGCATCAGCATTAACTCTGCTGTAACGCTTCATGATGAAAAGCATACAGGCTTTCCAGGCATAAACGTAAGACCCGCCTTGTTTTTACCTGTCCAAAAAAAATTAATGGAAAAGCTGTTTCCACAAAGTGTCATTAGTATCGCTTCTTCAGGGTCCAGGAATACAATCAATACATTTATTAAACATTGGAAAACTTAAAATCAACACCCCACTTTGCCAATTTGAGGCAGGGATTTGAAACCTGGCGTCCAATGTCCTGACTCAAGTGTAACTGACAATCTGCAAGTCTGAGCACAGTTCCTGTCTCTTTACAGGTTTTTTTGTTCCTAATGACTTGCTTTCATTCCTGTGTGGAACAGCTGAACAAAAGGCTTCAAGGACTGTAAGTTCTCAGCAAAAAGAAATTTTCATTTCTTCAGACAGCTTAGGGAACTGTACCACAGTCAGAACTGAAAGGCTTTAGCTTACAATCTGTCGTGGGCCAGAGCACAATAAAGCCTAATTGCAATCTTTTTCAGAATGTACCTTCTTTTGTTTTTCTTCCTCTTCCAAAAGTCTCAGTCTTTTGCATTCCATCGCCTTGTACTGAATGCTCTCCTTGGTGAGTGGGTTGTAGTTATTATGTCCAGGCAGTAGGCGAAAATAGCGGTTCTTTTCTGAGTCATAGTAAAATCCCGGCAGTTCTTAGGGAAAAAAAAACAAACCAAAAGTGTCAAACCCCAGGCAAAATCAGACGGATAACTAAGGTTGTTTATTGCTCTTTGACAGCCCGCATCTTCACAGGCTGAGCTCTTGCTCCCAGTGGGTCCCAAGCATGACACAGACTGGGAACAGATGACAGCCACTTGAAAAAAAGATTATTTATAGTTTTCAAATGCAGTGCTGTTACACAGGTACAGAAGAGATGTCACCATTGACAGAGATGAAATTCAGACAGGTCAGAGAAGCAGAGAGGAAGCGTTTTGCTGCAGAACAAGAATGACCTTTCTTCATAAATCAATCACGAGGGGACACTCTTGGTTAAAAGACTAGGTAGGGCAGTCCCAAACGGGGGGGGGGGAAGTGATGACAAGGTATCAGCCAAACAAAAATAAAGTGATTCACTTCCCAGAACAAGCCACTTTTTCTTTCACACATAGGAGAGATTTAGATACAATCAGGAGTACATTTGGACAATACACAGAGGCTCCTTCCAAAGATAAACTGGGATGAGAGAAATAGTCAGTTTTGGTGCTTCAATGCCAGGCTAAATTCAGAGGGAGACAGGTAAAGTACTTGACAGATTAATAATGGCACATTGTCTCAAGATAAAGGATTTTATTCAGAAGGGGTGAGTGTTAACATTTCAAGAGTTCTTATTTAAACTTTTATCTACTACCAGAAATTGTATTTGAAGTAACCTCTTTTTGCTGCTGCTCACAATTCAGCTCCTTGTCAGCATCTTTTAGGTTTCAGCTTAGCAACAAGTGACCAAGACTTATTCAGGTCATCAAAAATAGAGAGGTAGTGAATGAATCAGTGAGGTTCATAAAAGCACGCTGCAGGTAGTTTACAGAATCTAATTGCACAGCAATAAATGTTTTTGCAGGACACATCTCCTAACATGCTCACAACCTCTTAGGCACAAAAGGGTGATATACAAAAAAGGTCTCTAAACTCTGGCTTTGTCTGGTGTCAAGAGGTTAGAGCCAGTGGTGTTTCAGGACTTTCCTGTTGTGGAAAAATACATGTTCTCACAGGCTTAGCTTTTGCTACGGTTGTTTAATGAGTTGGGAAAACAGAAAGCAAACGGGACATCTTCCTAATAGCACCATTACCACATCAAGTCTGGTTTCACCAGTCAGCTCTTGATAATGAACAAATATTTAGCCAGAGTGTATTTCTTACAGGCTACAAAACAGACTGAAGGCACAAAGAGAGACGTTTTTTCCATGCACCCCCACCCCAAAGTGGTGGATTGTTATGTCTTTTAAAAGACTGAATAACTGGATGCACGTTTTATATGCTCTCTTATATTCTTTGCTTCTTTAATGTTTCTGTTGAAAGATCTATTTTATAACATCTTCAGCACATATAAGAACAGAAACAAAGTTCGTTTTCTTCCCAAAGCAACAGTTATGGAGGGAGACACAGAATTACATTTTTTCAGTTTATATCGGCTTGGTTAAGCACCCAAGTTTTCAAACATGAGAAGCACCTGAAAGTGCATTTGGCCCTGCTCTCTAGGTCCTCACTACGTCT